TGGGACTTTGAAGTCATATAAACAGGATGCAAAATTTGACCCTTATTTACTACCTGAATTTGTTTCCTCATATTGGGTTGAATAACTCATATAACTCATTACTCTTATTCTTGGGGGAGTTAAATGAAATGATGTATGTAGTCTACCGAGTTCAATTAAGACTTAGAAGCAGTTGTGCACCAGGCTTTGATGTCGGCTGCCAGCTCACAAGTAATGACACAGAGACTTCTTATTAATTATGAAAGCTTGGCCTTAGCTCAGGTGTGTCCCACTAGCTCTTATAACTTCAATTAACCCATTTCTATTAATCTATTTTTTGCCTCGTGGCATTTTACCTTTCTTTCATTCTGTATGTCTGACTTCTTCCATGTCTTGTAGGGGTCTGACACTGTGCCTAGATTCATTCATTCCCTACTTCCTCTCTCTCTCTACCTGGAAGTCCCACCTGTACTTCTTGCCTAGCTATTGGCCTTCAGTATTTTAGTACACCAATCACAGCAAATACATATTCACAGTGTACAAATATCCCACAAGCAGAGTTTACACTGTTTTTCTCACTCTCTGGCTATTAGAAAGATGGCTTTATGCCAGGTATAGTAGTACACACGTTTAGTCCCAGCACTTGGGAGGAAGAAGCAGATAGATCTCGAGGCTAACGTGATCTACAGAGTTTCAAGATAGCCAGGGCTACACAGAGAAACCTTGTGTCAAAAAACAAAAGAAACAAAAAGTTGGCTTTACGAGGTAGAGGTAAAGTAAGCTGTACAGTATCATGTTATGTTCCCTAAAATGTTCATGGCATTTATTTATGTTTATTCCCACAGAGGTTTGTGCAGAGAGAAGCAATCTATAGGTGTGTTACTTACCAAATATTCTCATTCCTCAGTGCAAAATTGGGTGAAAGTTTATAATTCAAGAAGACTCATTTCTTAAAAGAATGGCACACCTTTTGGGGGGACTAAATTGCTTCATAATGATCCTGATATAATAAAAGAAGATTCTCTTGCATATTTTTATTACTGACTCTTTTTTTTTGGTTTTTCAAGACAGGGTTTCTCTGCGGCTTTGGAGGCTGTCCTGGAACTAGCTCTTGGAGACCAGGTCTCGAATTCACAGAGATCTGCCTGGCTCTGCCTCCCGAATGCTGGGATTAAAGGCATGCACCATCTCTGTTTATTTACTAACTGTTTTAAAGATTAAATTTTACTTATGATTATCATATATGTACATATGTGTGCATGGGTACATATGCCACAACATGCATGTAGAGATCAAAGGACTTTCCTGTACTCTTTATTTTTTGCCCTCCCACCTTTCAAGTTCAGGGATCATTTGCCAGGTTTGTTCAGCAAGCACCTTTACCTGCTGAGCCATTTTGCTTGCTCTATTCTTGGTTTTTAAAAATCAACTCTTTGAATACCCTTTTCTCCTCTTCAGCATTTGTAATTGCTATCCTTTTTTATTTCTCCAGTACAATAAGGTATTTCCATATCCTTCAGATTACATTTGATTACATTTACACAATGTAATCACTAAATACAAGGACAGAAAATAAAACTGGGTGGTGTTAGCACACATCTTAATCCCAGCACTCAGGAGGCAGAGGGAAGTAAATCTCTGAGTTTCAGGCTAGCCTGGTCTATACAGAGAAAAAAAAATCTGTATTATATCTTAAAATCTGAGATTCTATATGTAGAAAGTTCTGCTTTTCACCTATAAAGTACATATCTTCATTTAAGATTTGGTGTCCTAGTTTATTAATATACTTAAAAAGTTTTCCAAATAACTGTTAGTAATAGTCTCATACAACGATGTATTCTGTTAAAAGGTGTTTCTAAATTAAGGGGTATATTATATAGTAGGATTCAACTGGCTCACAGGCTGTGGCCCAGTTAGTCCAACAATGGCTGTCTACCAATGAAAGTCTAAGAATCCAGTAGTTGTTCAGTCCACGATGCTGGATGTTGCAGCTGGTCTTTATTCTCCAGAATCCTGAAAAAGCAGGTTCTAATGCCAATGAAGGAATGAACTGGCCAGCAAGTGCGAGCAACAAAGAACTTCCTTCTTCCACGTCCATTATATTGGCTGCCACCAGCCATGGCTTAGACTCAAGGTGGATCTTCCCTCAAAAGATGCAGGTTAAAGTTGGGTCTTCTGATTTCAGACATGTAATTAAGAAAAATCTCTCATGGGTGTATCAAGCTGCTTGGATTTTAGTTAATTCCAGGTGTAGTCAAGTTGACAACCAAAATGGCCATCACCAGTGGAAGCTTTTATATTAGTTGCTTCCATTGCTGAAGTTGGCTTAGCACTGGCCTCTGCTGACTTAATTATGCACTGTGGATAAAGTGTACTTAATTCTGGATCCTCTGTGAAGAACTCTAGAGCAGTACAGTCCCCCACACAGGTAAAACTCACTAGAGAACTACAAATCACTTCTAGTTTTGGTAGTCACTTTCTTCTGTCTGGTTGCCCCCACTCTCATCAAGGCACCATGCTCTGCAAAGTCCTGGCCCTCTGTCTTTTGTGCTCTGGCTATGGATTCTGCCAGTCTGTATATAGAAGCAATCAATGATGACTCACTAGACCCAACCAGTAAAGGTCTACTAGATTCAACTATGACCTACTGTGATGACTTCCCTTTGTTGTCAGCTTGACTATATCCAGAAATGGAGTGCACACCTGTGATCCAGATCTTGATATATGAAATAATAGTTTTGCCTAAAGTAGATGATTTGCCCAAGGGAACACAGGACCGATTCAATAGTCTGTTCTCTCGAAGAGAAAAGTGGACAGAAGGAGACATCACTCCATATATCCAGTAAGTAATTCATTCACAATAGGTTATGATGGTTGTTCTTTAAAATGTGGCATGCTGACTTAATTATGCACTGTGGATAAAGTGTACTTAATTCTGGATCCTCTGTGAAGAACTCTAGAGCAGTACAGTCCCCCACACAGGTAAAACTCACTAGAGAACTACAAATCACTTCTAGTTTTGGTAGTCACTTTCTTCTGTCTGGTTGCCCCCACTCTCATCAAGGCACCATGCTCTGCAAAGTCCTGGCCCTCTGTCTTTTGTGCTCTGGCACAGTAAAGGCCTACTAGATTCAACTATGACCTACTGTGATGGCTTTCCTTTGTTGTCAGCTTGACTATATCCAGAAACGGAGCACACACCTGTGATCCAGATCTTGAGGCTGGAAGACACTGCCTTTAATTCAGACTTTGAGGCTGGAAGCACTCCTTTAATCTGAGCCATACCTTCTGTTGGAAGCCTATATAATGGAATAAGGAAGGGTTTGTCCTCACCTGGTCAGCACATCCATTCCTTCCCTGGCATTAGAGCCTATGTCTACAGGATTGCAGAATATACAGAAGACCAGCTGAGACACCCAGCCTTGTGGAACTTTCCATTTACAGCTAGGCATTATTGGGCTGTAGCTTGTAAGTCACTCTAATAAATTCCCATATATATATATATATATGTATATGTATGTATATGTATATGTGTGTATATGTATATATGGAGAAAGAGGTTCATTCCCTAAGTTCTGTGGTTCTAGAGAACCCTAATTCACATACTATACCCAGTGAAGGCCTACTAGATTTAACCATTGACCTACCAAACTCAACCAGTAACCAATCGGAATCAATTGAGATAGTATTAACTGCTGATCTAGAGCAGGGGTTTTAATCTGTGGGTCATTATGATTCATAGCAGTAGAATATTACAGCTATGAAGTAGCAACAAAAATAATTTTATGGTTGGGGTCGCCACAACATGAGGAACATGGGGGTCACACCATTAGGAAGTTTGACAACCACTGGTCTAGAAGTTGATAGCAACATTGATTGGACCACAGACCTCATGTCAACTCCATCTATGTGTATCACTAAAACACAGACTTTTGTTTCCTGTACTAATGTTGAGCTTCTCAGAAGCCAGCGAGCCCACAGATGCTTATAATACTTCGCTGACAGCTTTCTGAGCAAAGACATTTAGTAGACTGGAGAGAAGTGAGTTCACCTCAGTGTATCTTTAAAGCACAGCAAAAGTTTAAGTTTTAGCTGTTAAATTTCCATTATCACTGCACCCTCCTCCACTTCCTGAGAAGACTGGAACTTGGAACAAGCCTACCACTGTCCTTCTGGGTCTTATAAAATCGTAGAAAATGATGTAAGTCTGAGGATGTCCCAGCAGATGAGAAAGAGTGAGGAAGTGGTCCCGCAGGAGGACTGTTGTGTCGGGCATCTATGAGCTCTGCCTTTACCTTGCGTGGGCTTAATAAAGCAATGTTCATTGGGGACAAATAATTTCTAGTTTTGGAACGTCTGATAAAGCTATGGCTTTATTTTCCTAATTGGTTTTGCTTTAGGCCAAGTTCAGATAATTTAAAATCAGCTGACGAACTTGTCAGCAGGACCACTCGAAAGGGTAAGAAAAGCTCAACCTACGAAGGTGGCAAAATCGTTAACGGACGATCCACAATTAACAGAGTCACCAGCCACTGGCTTGCCACTTGGGACCCACAGGAAATGCAAATACAACGGCTTTACCATGACTTTAAATGATGCTTTCCGTATTTGTGCATGTGGTTTGATTTAGAGCTGTAGATGCATAAGCAGTGCTGAGGCCGTGGGGGACTGAGAGTCCCTGCGGTCTCATCACTTTGCATCCCGGGGTCCGGGCGCGTTTTATGGACACCTCACGTCCCCTCCCTTCCTTCCTCCCCGCTCTTCTCATCTCCCGCAGGGAATCCTTCCTCCGTTCTCCTAAACCCCGAGACGAGCGAGAGCTCGCTCGGCAGCCAGACGCAGCCCAGCCAGCTTCGCGGCGCAGGCCCCGCTAGGGTTAGGGTTAGAGGGTTAGGGTTAGGGTTAGGGTGGGGTTAGGGGTTGGGTGTGGGGTGGTGTTGGGGTGGGGGGGTGGGGGGGGGGGGTGGGGGTGGGGGGGGGCGGTGGGGGGGGGCGGGGGGGGGGGGGGGCGGCCGGGGGCGCGGGGGGGGCGCGCCCCGCCGCCGCCGCCGCCGCCGCCGCCGCCGGGAGGGCGAGCCCCGCGGGAGCGAGCGCTTCATGCCGCCCACCGGCGTCGAGTCCTCCAGGATGAACAGGAAGAAGGGAGACAAGGGCTTCGAGAGCCCGCGGCCGTACAAATTATAAGTACCCCCCGCCCCGCCCCGGACCTTCCCCTTCCCGGGCTTGGCTTGCACCGTTTCCGTGAGTGACGATGGGTCTGGGGGAGCCAGGGGGGGGGAAGCAGAGCCCACCCCAGAGGACGGGACGTCTGCAGAGAGGCGACGTTTTGAGTGACAGTGTCATTCAGCAGGCTTGACCCCCCCCCGCCCCCACGCAGGCTCACAAGCCCTTCAGAGCACTGCCACAGTTTTGTCCAGACAGACCTGTCCATGATGACCCTTGACAGTTAAAATAAGCAGGTCACTCATTAAGTAGACTAAAGATTGCAGCTCATTAGCAGGCTGGCTGTGGTTTTGGAGCTGCTTAGAAGAGAGTTCTTATTTGTGCTTGGATACAGTGAGCTTTGGTTTACTGATTGTCGTTTTCCTTTCTTTTTTTTTTAATATACAGCCCATCAGGCCGTCTGTGTCAACAACGTAAACTTCCAGAGAAAAATCTGTGGTGGTAAGACATCATAAGCAGTCATCATAAACAGTGTAAGTCAGTCTTTCAAAGTTCTTAGAGACTGCTTTCTTCCTGCTGACTGTGCCTCTAGAATAAGAACTTAGAATTCAAGTCTGTGGGATTATCATATGCTTTTGCTATATATGTTGGCTCAGTTCTCCCCACGTCTCTCCTGATTAAAATGTTTAATGCATTGTGTATGTTGTGGAATATAAAGTCTTTATAATCAAGCACTTCCACATTAGACATGAATAAGCCACAAACAAATTAAAGTGTACATACATTGACCTGACTTGGTGTCTGAGAAACCTGCTGTTTCTGAATCTTCACTGACGTGGTTTAGGTAGTACTGCATTGTAGTGAGGTTTTGAATAAACTTTTTTTTTTGAGATTTATTAGATTTATGGTTAACCAGTACAACCTAATATGGGGGGGGGGGGGCATTGAAAAACCTAAGTATTTTATTGTACTTTCTCTGAAGAACCTATATGAATTAAATAGAGTAGGTCTTAGAGTCTCTTTTCTTTGAAAGATTGTATCAGCTTCCTCATTAGACTTACGTTTGTATATGTGCAAGCTTAGGATTAGCTGTAAAGATTGGGAAATGTAACTTTCAAATCAGTCTTAGAATTTTATATTTGTAAAGATCCTAAAAAAGTCATTAGAGGCAGCTATTCATTTATGGACGTTCTTGTAGTGTTTGCCACAGATTGCTATTTATCTTGAGTTTAGGGGCTGGAACACGTTTGGTGGATTATGTAGAGAATGTGGAAGGATTAGGGAGTATATTTAAGATGTTATTCCAGCAGTGTGGGGAAGACTTGATGGAGCTCTCCAGCTGAGCACGATTACAATGGAGCAGAGTCAATATGATTGAATTATAGAGAATGTTAGTTGAATTCTCACTGTCAGTAAGACATTCCTTAAGGAATCCTGCAGATTCCTTCTATAACCTCTTAAAGTAGATAAGATCTCAATCGAAACTTTATAAATGAGGGACCTGAGAATATTGAGATTAAAGTGAAAGTAGGTAGATGAAATAATAATAGAAGAATGCACTACTGTCCACATGTGGTCTGGCAGAAGAACCTCTGGTGGTCATTGTTCACATTTTTGTGCCGTTACTTTCTGTAACCACAGAGACATCTTGTTGCTTGGGTTTGCAATCCTGGAATAGAGAAATGATCGGTCCAGAGCTACTTTTTACCTGTGCCACCAGAATACCCCTTACTTCATTGGACCAGGGACCTAGTCTACAATATATATTATAGTGCTGAGCAAATAAACTTAGCCCTACTCTAATGTCATTGACCTGTGATGCCATTTATTACATGGCCTCCAAAGACTTCCTGCCTGACTACTGCACTCTGGTGACATTTGAGAGTACAAATATTCTATCCATTCAGAAGAACCAAGCTATGATGACCCCCAACAAGGTTCAGGTTTTCTCTTTTGTTTCTGTTTTCAGAATGGATACTGACCTGGCAGAGAGGCTGCAGATCCTTCTTAAGTAGTCTCAGAAAATAGATTCAGGAGGCTGTGTGGTAGAGAGTGGCTTCCCATTTACTCAGAGGGCTCTGTTCTAGGACTGTGAACTTAGGTATAGAAATTAGATAAATAATCTCTACTACTGTACTTTAAATAGATTTTATCCCCACTAGACTTAGAAAATCATCATAAGATACCATTTACATATTTTTCAGCACCTGATAATCAGCTATTACATTAGCTCTGTGGATCTGTGTTTAAGATGGTCATGGTGGTGGCTGCCTAGAATCCTAGCACTTAGGAGGTTGAGGTGGGAAGATCAGTTGAGCCTGGCAAATCTAGAACAGCCTAAGCAAAATGGAGAGACCTCCTCTTAAACAACTAAGCATGGTGGTACACACCTGTAACCCCACATTCTGGAGGTTAAGGCAAGTAGACTGGGAGTTTGATACCCTGGACTATTTAGGGGATACTGTTTCAAAAAGAAGAGAAAAGCAAAAACATTCATGATTATGTAGCTTACTTCTGTGGCTTATTTTGATGGCTGTGCTCACTCATAAGAAGACTCTGGGCATACTTCTGGACCCAGGAAATTCTACAGAGAGAAAAGATTATAATCACAGAAAAGTGAATTAGAAAAAGTTACAGAAAGAGCCATTTTAACCAATACTTATCCATACAAAGTGCAAGAACAGTATTTGGTTTCTAAACTAAGGCTGATAATTACAAACAAAGGGAGTATACTTCGGGAAAACCATTCAATAATATGACATATGGCCCTAACATGCATACAACGAGACCCACTAATCTTCACAAGCTTGAAACCAGCATCCTTAGCCACTGATGTAATTTAAATTGCCAGATGATCTAACATCTCAAATCAACTCCTTCCATTAGTTTTTTCTCCACCACTACATAACTAGATATTTCATGGCTTCTGATAGTGTTGAAAACTATTTATTTACTATAGTTACATGAATGACTCCTGAATATCCCATGCTCCTCTTTCTCTCTTCTGCAGGACAGCACTTTGCCTGCTCTGAGATCCTGCTCTGCATATTACCCTCTTCTGTGATTATAATCTTTTCTCTTTCTGTATCTTCTATAAGATTAGTCTTATAAAATATATAGATTTATGGTAATTAAGACTGAGCTAGCATATGAGAAATCCTACTCAATTGACCAGCAGCATTGTAAAATAATACAAGACTCTGTGTGTTATTCTGGCTGCCCACGTGATGGTTGGGCTCCAGTGGATGGAATAGGAAAGACTTATCGCAACAGTCCTAGGTACAGGCTGTTATAAAAATAACTGGCTGCTCTGTTTTCTGTAGTGGTAGGAAACTAGGGCTTTGTAGATGCTAGGGAAGTTCTCTTTTATTAGGCTTTGCCACCAGCTCCTTTCATTGTTTTTTGTTTTGTTTTGTTTCTTTAATGAAAAGTACTTTAAAAACTGTATGGATGGAGCGAGCATGGGTCAGGTGGTGTCACACCCATTTGAAATTGTATCATTTTTTACAGCATTAATGATCCTAAAAAATCCCCTGGTTCAATTCCTCCTTGTTATAAAAGAACATTCTTAAGTCCTACACCATGAGTTCACTGAACTAGTCTGTGGTAGAGCATTCTCAAATCCCACAGTGTAAGTTCACTGAACTAATCTGGGGTAGAGCATTCTCAAATCCCACAGTGTAAGTTCACTGAACTAATCTGGGGTAGAGCATTCTCAAATCCCACAGTGTAAGTTCACTGAACTAATCTGGGGTAGAGCATTCTCAAATCCCACAGTGTAAGTTCACTGAACTAATCTGGGGTAGAGCATTCTCAAGTCCCACAGTGTAAGTTCACTGATCTAATCTGGGGTAGAGCATTCTCAAGTCCCACAGTGTAAGTTCACTGAGCTAATGTGTGGTAGAGCATTCTTAAGTCCCATAGTTAACTTTACTGATCTAATCTGTGGTAGACCATTCTTAAGTCCCACAGGTAACTTCACTGAGATAATCTGGGGTAGAGCAGAAGCTAGAACTTGAATTCTTGCCACATGTCCTTTATGCTTAGAGTTTAACCTCTCTAAAGTTTTATTTTCCTTGCTTTAAAAATTTAGCCGTTACAATTATTGTTTGAAAACTTCTGTCTACCTTCATTTAGTCTCATAAAAGTCAAGGAAAGAAGAAAACACTTTGTTTTCATTGTATGTGGGAGCAGATGAGAACATAGTGGGATTCTTCAGTTTTAGGGTTCAGGTAGAAGCTTATTGCATAGTCACAGGGGGGAATTAAAATAACCTCTTTTAACCTAATGCTAACAGGCTTTTTTACTGTACAGAAATAAAATGTAACTTAATAGATGATGCAATTTCGTGAGTAATCCTCCCTATCCTACCTTCTGTCGTTTACTGTCCCAAGTCAAGTAGAGTTAACAATTTGGGAGAAAATACAAAAGGAGAAAAAACTTGAAAAGTAGAATTGCAGTTGGGTTTGAAAGACCTTAAGGCATTCATATTAGGGGTTGTGAATTTTTTTCTGAAAACATTCCATGTCCAAAATGTTGCGAAGAGAATATGATACACCTGGTACTGTGCTTTGTGGGAAACCACAAGAGGCAGATTGATTGGAGGCACACCATCAACTAGTGTAAGTGGAAACAATAAAAGCCTACACTGTGGCAAGTGGTATCACTTCTTAGTGGGATTTGATCCCAGGCCTCTAGTATCTAGGCTAGTGCCGTACCACTGGAGCTGCATCCCAAGCATCTCTGTGGTTTCTTAATACAATGCTCAGGCTGTGGTTCTCATTGTAGTGTCTTCCCTATGGATGTTACTTTTGCTTATTTGCATGTCAGTGAATGTATGTATTTATTTGTTGCAGAGTTAAAGGTTCTGAAGATACATAACAATTTTCTTTGGATCAGCCGAAAGGGGGTCTTCATTTTGTGGTACCCAGTGTAGAGGGAAGTATGGCAGAGAGAGGTGCTCATGTCTTCTCTTGTGGATATCAGAATTCTACAAGGTACATTATCAATTCATATATTTCAATAAACTTCATTTTATGTATTGAATGTGCAGTGTATTTATTCATTTAGAATGATGAGTGTAAGCATTTTTTTTTTTGTAAACGATTTGTTTTTTGTCCTCTAGGCTGCTTCTGAATCATGCTGTACTGGTTATTCCTTCTGTCTTATCATTTCTTTCTTCATCTTCATCTCTTCCTTTACAGAATAATCCTGAAATAATATATCAGCTTGATTCTTTAACTGTATAGTGAAATTCAGCATACAGGAAGCTGTACACATTTAAATGCAAAAACATAACAACTTTTCACAAATGAACAAACCTATTGAGCTTCCACTCAGATTAACACAAATAGCATCACCACTTGGCAGAGTTTCCACTGTTTCAGCATTCCCACCTGGCATTCTGTCTCTTTACTCTGTTTCTGAAATGCTATTGATGGTGCTTGGTTTTGAACTTGAAGTGAATGAACTCATTCATGGGTTGTAGCTGGTTTTTTTTGTTGTTGTTTAACATTGGTAGGCTCACCTACATCTTTATGTGACATTATAATCCATTCCCATGCTCCGTACTTTACTACTTGTTATTGAAATATTTTATAATGTGAGTACTTGGCTCCGATTATTAATCCTTCTAAGTCAAAGATTTGTGTTTTACAGTTATTTATATTTTGGTCTCTTGTACTGATTGTATGATAGAGTAAGACCTGACCTGAAATTTGAAGTTTAAAGTATTTTCTGTGCTGTTAATGTATTTGTAGATTTTGGTTCCCATGTGTTGATTCATACTCTGAGTTGTGTACATGGAAATTAGAATTTACAGTAGATGCTGCAATGGTAGCCGTGTCCAGTGGAGATTTGGTGGAGACAGTGTACACCCATGACATGAGGAAGAAGACTTTCCATTACATGCTTACTATTCCTACAGCAGCACCCAATATCTCCTTGGCCATTGGACCTTTTGAAATAATTTTAGACCCATATATGCATGAGGTGAGTCTTTTCTCCTGCCTTGTTCTCCTCTGAACTTTTACTCCTTAGGAAAAGGAGGCTCAAATAAAAGAGTTTTACCTTTACCTGTCAAGATTATCACCAAAAGAAAAGGTCTCATCTCACATTTGCTTGGAAGGAAAACCATTTTGGCCAATTTGTTGACCAGGATTCTAACTGGTAAACTGGTCATTCTGTGCCTCAGTATAGTAAAGTGAGAATAAATCTTACTGCTTTCTTTTTCTTAGTAAGGTCTCTGTGCAGCATAGACTACCCTTGATGTCATGTGTTTTAGTAAGGTCTCTGTGCAACCCTCCCTGACTTCTTTGTTCATTTGGCATAGAATTGTTTCATGAGACACTCTGTGATACTTGTTTTGAATTTAGCAAATATGAAAACCATGACTATTATTTCTACTGTGGCTCTTTTACTAGTTTGTCTCTCCAGTATTCAGGGTGTACTGAAACACCAGAGGGTGGCTTGGGTGACAGTTCTTGGGCACAGATAGTTCTGATCAGCATGAGATCTACACAGCTGATCTCACTGTGTAGTCCAGGCTGGTTTCAGCCTCCCAAGAGTTAGAATTATTGTTATAAGCCACTACGCCAGGCAACATAAACTATTAATTCCTAGATTTAGGCACTGAGATTTAATGCTACTTGACTGGCATGTGCAAAGTATTGGGTCCAATCTTCAACATTGTACACATGCACAAAAATTACTAAAATTATAAAATATGCAGTAATTGCTAAGTTTAGACACATGAGTAAGAGCTTATTGCTAAGCCTTAAATTTTAATTCTTTCTTGTTTATGGAGAAAAGAAAAAAATTAATTTGGAACCAGTTTTTATTTTCCTTGTGTGTAAGGTTTTAATAAACTTATATAATCCATTTTAAATTTAATTTTTAGCACAATGAAACATTTTGTAAACCTGATCTGAAAAGCCCACTAATTTTGCAACAGCTACTTTCAACATTAAGAAATGTATTAAAAACTAAATTTGTCCTTTTTTGAGATGATTATCTTTTTATTTGCAGGTTACACATTTTGTTTGCCCCAGCTTCTTCCATTACTCAAACATACCACGTCATTCCTTCACGAAGTTTTTGAATTTTATGAAGAAATTTTGACTTGTCGCTATCGGTACGCTGGGTTTTTTTGTTTGTTTGTTTTGGTTTTTTTTTTGGTTTTTTTTTTTTGGTTTTTTTTTTTTTGTTTTTGGTTTTTCGAGACAGGGTTTCTCTGTGGCTTTGGAGGCTGTCCTGGAACTAGCTCTTGTAGACGAGGCTCGTCTCGAACTCACAAACATCCACCTGCTTCTGCCTCCCGAGAGCTGGGATTAAAGGCCTGTGCCACCAACGCCCAGCCGTACTCTGGTTTTAAGACTGTCTTCATCGATGAGGCTTATGTTGAGGTGGCTGCTTATACTTCTATGAGTATTTTCAGGTTAGTGTCTCTTGAGATGGGGAATGCCTAGATTAGGGTACTGAGAAAAGGCAAAGCTGTTGGCTGACTCTTTGATCCAGATTTAAGATTGGTTTTGAACTCCAGGTATGACTGAGTTTATAGGTCATCTGGTGTGTTTAAAATGTTACAGTGTAGCTTCCTACGTAAGGAAGTTAGGCATCCTACGCATCCTGGTGCCTTCTCCAGAGTTATCATTGGCATTTCCATTGCTGGTATAGTTCTCAGTGTCTGTAAATGTTTAGCTCACACATTTGTGGGTCAGTAGTGTGCCTTTTTGTAGTGCTATAAAATGTATTGGTATCATCAATTTGTTGTCAAAAACAAAACAAATTCTTTTCTTTGTTTTAGCTCTCCTTTTCTGCCCCCTTTTTTTGGTGGTGGGGGTTCCAAATTTATAAGTTTTATATGTCAGGGTGGTTGTTTTACTTTCTTATCCCTAAAAGTTCTCATGTGTCACGTGAGATACTAATATTGTGCATTCTCCAGAACACAGTTGTAAAAATTGAATGAAACAATATATTTAGAAGTAAATAACAGAATGCCAAAATTTACTAGACACTAGAAAAAGGGTTTTATTTTTGTTACTGGTTTTCTATTTGGGGAGAAATGTTTCCATACTATGTGTTTCATGCTGGCTGTGCAACAGACTGGATACTGGGAGGAAGGATTTTTTAAAATTAAGTAACCCCAGTGTATTGGGATTCATTTCTGATTAACACATTCATTTCTTCCTCGCTTCCCAAAATAGTGATATATATATATATTTGTAAAATCAATAGAAACATTGTTCCTTGCTTTAGACAGATTGTGAATTTCAGATAGATTTTGAAAAGATTGGAATATTCTGGACTTTTTCCTTCTGTATTGAGCTTGAACCTAAAACTGAATTGCTTTGGGAATGCAGTTACTGTATTTTGACTGACTGTGCTTCCGTTGGTCCTGTCACTTCGTGTCTTTGGCTTTCAGCACAAACCTTCTGCACAGTGCCATGATTATAGATGAGACGCCCCTGACCAGGCGGTGCCTAGCGCAGTCGTTAGCGCAGCAGTTCTTTGGATGCTTCATATCGAGAATGTCTTGGTGAGTAACATCAGAACTGCAGACTGAGCCAGAGGGTCAGGAAAGCTGACCTCCCCTCCTCTCCCCTCTTGTATTGTTCTCTGACAGCCTCTTGTGGTCCATGCTGTCCTCAAACTTGCTGTGTGTCTGAGTCTGGCCTTGAACTGACTAATGCTCCTGCTCCCTCCCGAGGGCATGGCTAGCCTGCGCTGCTCTGCTTCACTCTCGGCTTCTTTTCTGCATTATAAGCTGGCTGCTGCCCATAAGTTATAAATGGCGGGGTTATTCTGAGAGATTTTCTCAAAAAAGAAAACCATTAGTAAAACTTTATCTTGATTGTTTTTGGATCAGCTTTAATATCAGCTCTATAAATCACTTTGTAATTACTGGGGCATGGTGGCATATGACTTCAAACTCTCAACGGGCAGAGAGGCAGGTGGATCTTAGTGTGTTTGAAGCCAGTCTGATCTATGTAGCAAGTTCAGAAAAGCACCCACTACATGGTGAGACCCTGTTTCAAAAAAAAAACAAAGCAGAAAGTTACTTATATAATTTACCATAAAATAAGAATTCTGAAAAACAGTATCTTAGCTGTATAGAATGCAGATTTGAATGTATAGAAAATTAATTAGAAGTCAAATGTCAGTGTTCAAATCTTCTGGAAAAATCTGTGAGATGATTTTTAAAGCAAATAATTGTCTTCAACAGTAATGATGATGGCATAAAGAATTTGCCTTTTAGCCGGGCATTGGTGGCGCACACCTTTAATCCCAGCACTCGGGAGGCAGAGGCAGGCAGATCTCTGTGAGTTCGAGGCCAGCCTGGTCTCCAGAGCGAGTGCCAGGATAGGCGCCAAAGCTATACAGAGAAACCCTGTCTCGAAAAAAAGAATTTGCCTTTTAGTTTTTAGATTCTTGCTACTTTTCTTGAAAAGAAGGGAGAAGTACATTTGGGGCTGGGGTGCAGCTCAGAGACACAGTGCTTTCTTATACATGCTAGATCCTCAGTTTGAGCCCCAACACTAAAAAAAAAGATAATCTTTGTTTTCTTTAAGTGGAGGTGAATTTCGTATTGTTTATCTGGGTTTTTTGTTTTTGTTTTTTTGAGAAGGGGTCTTTACACTTGTACCTCTGGATGGCTTAAAACTTGCAATGTAGACCCGCTTGGCCTCAAACTCTGCCTACTGAATGCTAGGATTACAGATGGAAGTCACCACGATTGGCTACTTATAGTTAATTTAATACACTATACAAAAATTCCGTGAGATTGTAATTTTTTTATATTTTAATGTAGAATTCCATTTCTGCCTTACTTTTTACAAATTTAATGTTACTGTTGTGTGTGTCTGGGTTTATGTGAGTCAGTGAGTGGTTGGTGCCAATTGCCTTTTCTCTAGAAAAAGTACAAACATTAAACAGTTTAACTTAAGGATGTTGTAAAACCTAGGTAATGAAAATTATGTCTGTGTGTCACAAAGTAGAATGTAGGATTGGAGTTTACCTTAATGAGAATTTGAACTCAGGACATTGTATACATACTAGGCGAGCACTGATAACACATTCTCAGTCCAAGAATGTGTATTTTGTTTTGATGTTTTGAGATGGCATCTTATCTAGGTTACCATGTCCTTGAACTCAACTCTAAAGCTGAGGGTAAACTTAAGCCTCAGCCTCCCAAGTGTGGAGAATGTATCAGAGCTAGATAAAATAGTGGCATGTGAAGTGAAAACTGGGGGAGTTTTATTACATCCCATATTTGGTGGTGGAAAAGAAAAGGATAAGTATGTTATTTTTCTGAGATCATTATAAAGCTCACTTGATAGGCTGCCTCTTACAGGATCACTCGTGTGTTTCTTGAGGCCTAGTAAGGCCGGAACCATAATGATAGAGTGATGCCACAGACTGGTACTATTGTCAGTGCCCACTCAGTACTGTTATGTCACATAAGATGACTGTGAATGAATTTAAACTTAAAAATGTAATGTTTTCCTGTTTGACATGCCATGTTTTCTAATTCAACTGGACATGAGCTGTACTTTCTTCAGTTTTACCCTGCTGTGCTTTGGTTTGCTTTGGTCCTATTTTGTTCCCCTGTACGTCTGCTTAGGAATAAGAATGATTACTCAGCCTTGTATCCCAAGGGTGTTGGCACAAAACACAACTCCAACCTCAAAAGGGAATATAAGATAGTTTATTCCAGAGCCAGGTAAGGGTGATCATGGCCTGTGGACACAGGTAGATGCAGGTTTCCTGGGTGGCAGCAGTTTTATGATAATAGACAAAGAAAGTCATAAATCAGCATACTTTTCAAATTCATCGTTGGTACTCAGTGTCACACCCAGGGATTCTCAAATGCATTAGCAACTGAGCTGCACATGCCTTGTCCTTGGGTTTTTCCTTTTCTAAAGTTGTTTCATGTCTATTATAAAATAGGAGTGGGTGAAGCTGAACACTGATTGTGAGAGTAAAATTTGACACTCTTGATAGGTAATTAGTTAGAGCCAATCAGTTTTAGAATGGGTTGTGTTAAGATAACAGCAATTCTGCTCTATGTATAGGATCATAAAATGTTCTGCTTTTAGGTATTTGCTATACAAAAATATTTTATGTAAAATTTGCTGTAGCATTTTGGAATAGTGGAAAATTATCAACAACTTAATTTGTTTACATTAAATGTGAAGTTCACCTTCTACTTTTTTCTTTTTATAATCAGATTTGTTATATTCAGTGAATTTATGTTTTTTCCAGCCCCTCATATCACCACCTTCACTTTTCAATCAAGCGTCCGCATACACTGTCCTGGGAATACTACACTATGTTTCAATGTAAAGCTCACCTCGTGATGAGACTGATTGAAAACAGAATCAGCATGGAATTTATGCTACAAGTAAGTCCTAACATGAAGAACTTAGCAACATGAAAGAAATATCACTCTGTGTGTGTGTGTGTGTTACTGTTCTGTTGCTGAGATAAAAAACCATGACTGAGACTAAGGCAACTTCTTTGTTTGTTTGTTTGCTTATTATTTCTTGATGTAGGGTTTCTCTGTGTAGCCCTGGCTGTTCTGGAGCTCACTCTGTAGACCAGGTTGATTTTGAACTCAGAAATCCCACCTGCCTTTGCCTCCCAAGTGCTGGAATTAAAGTCGTGTGCCACCACCAACTGATGACTGAGGCAACTTGTTAAAGGAAGTGTTTATGAGCTTAAAGTCCCAGGGGGTTAGAGTCTATAGTGGCAGAGGGAAGGCAAGGGGACAGGCAGCCGAAACAGCAGTGAAAACTCATTTTGATCCACAGACACTGGGAATGGAGACTCTGAAGCCTTGAAGCCTACTCCCATGACACAACTCCTCTAGCAAAGCCACATTTTCTAATCCTCAAACAGCTACCAACAGTGACCAAGTATTCAAGTGCCAGAGACTCAGGGAGGACATTTAATATAAATCACCACATTCTCCTCCCTGTCTCTCGTAGTCTGAATGGCCAGATCGTCATGCAGAGTGTATCTAGTCCAACGTCAAAAGTCCCCACAGTCGTTCATAGTCAGAACACTGTTTCCAAGGCCAAAATTTCTTCTGAGACTCCAGGCAGTCTCTTAATTATAATCCGCTGTAAAGTAAAAAGCAAAGCACACCAGGTATAGACCTGAATTAGCATTCTCACTTATGAATTGACATTTATAATGCGCCCATCCCCTCTCATGTGCTAGGTCAATGCCTTCCCACTGCATTCTTCTTACATATCCCCCCCCCTTTTTTTTTAAGATTTTATTTATTTATTTATTGTGTATAGTCTTCTGCCTGCATGCCAGCAGAGGGCACCAGATCTCATTTAAGCCACCATCTGGTTGCTGGGAATTGAACTCAGGACCTCTGGAAAAATAGTCAGTGCTCTTAACCGCTGAGCTATCTCTCCAGCCCCCAGAACTCTTCTTACTTGGCCAGGAGGGGCAAATCCATGAGCAGACTGTCCAGACTCGCTCCCCCAACCCACACCCCCACG